AGGTCCTTTCCAACCCTAAATATTCTACGATCCTATGAATTTGGGTACTGCCAGTGAAGCTCTCGAGTTACACAATGGTGTAGTTGGTTGTCTTGATTTCCTGTTTGCTGTTTAACGCCTGATGTACAAAGGAGGCAGGGAGATGATTCCAGGCATAAGTGGGGACTTAGCAATCTAGTGGCTTCTGCTGGATAAATGTCTCTTTGATGTAAGCAGCAGCTTTGGGATGTCACTTTTGCCCTGTGCTAGACCTCTGAGAACAGCAGGGTGGGGGGTTTGGTTGATTGGTTTTGGCAGTTTGTTTTTTTGGTTTTTTGTTTAATCTGGGGTCTGCTTTGGTTCTGACAGGAGTTGGGGGCAGTGCCTATGTGGTGTATTAGTGCTGCTTGTAGCAAAAGAAAACTAAGTTCAAACTGAAGCCAACAAAGGAGAGCAAGGTGGGAAGTTGCTTGCAAAATGTTGTTTGAGTGGAAAGGTAGAGGACTTCTGTTTGGGCAAATATTTTAAGGATTAAAGAGGTGAAGTGGATGTCTTGAGTTCTATCCTCAACCCTTTCACTGATTTGTGGAATGCCTTAAAAAAGTTAATATTTCTGTGCCTCTATTTTTAAAACCTCCCTGAGGCCCTTAGCTGAAAGGCAACTAGCACAGGGTACTTCTTACCTTGATGACAAAGCCTGTATACTGTGGTTTCTTCTCGTTCAAGATGATGCCGATGGCACAGGGGATTAGCATTAGCACCAGGGAAGTGATTATTCCTTTGTAAGGTACCTTGCCCTCCAAATCACCCTCATATAGTCCTCCCAGGTAAAGGTACAGAAGCAGAGGCATTAGTCCGATTGCCAGGAGCGTTGAACATGTGGTCATTACAATGCTGAGATGAAGAAAGGACCCCTCAGTAGAAGAATGACACTTTTAAAATTGAAGATGCTAATTTCCCTGCTAACCTGGAGACATGGTTTTAATATAAGGCTTTACCTTGCTTTTTCCCAGCCTGTCACTGAGATTTCCCCAGCACTACTGTCAGGTTGTAGAAGGATGTGATATGAATAAAGGAGAAGATAAGTTCTACACAAACTCAGAAAGGACCCTTGTTGTGGGTAGAGCTCACACTTCAGAAATTCACCAGTGACAGAGAACGAAGTACTTCATATTCTCACCCTGCACCTTGTTTTATCACCAGCGTCTGTTGGAGAGTTATGTTCTGCTAGTTCAGCGTTTCTCACTGATCTAGCCCCTTCAGGCAGCGTGTTCAGTTTACACAGAACTATATGCTGCTATATGGATCAATATAATATGTATATGCTGTTTGTATTGCTATATGGAGATGAAAAAGTGTTCTTGCACCCATCTCACCAAGAGCAGTGTGCCATATGCCTCAGAGAAAGGTAGAAAATCACATTTTATTGTAAAACGGGGACAAATTTACCTATTGAGCAATATGGGTTCTTTAGAAATAGTCTAAACTTTGTAATTCGGCTTTTGTCCAGCTTCTTGGGGATTGCTAATGTTGATTAAGTTAGTTTCTGAACCAGTCATATGAGCAGCTTGGCCTGGGCAATGAGCACATGCTCAGCTTTCCTTACCTGAGGTTCATGTCCCCTCTCAGCGCAAGACTAAAGATGTTGGAGAGGTTTCCCCCTGGGCAGCAGCTACAGATGAGAATGGCCAAGGATTCTGTAGCACCCAGCTGGAAGAGCTTGCCCAGCGCAAATGCTGTCAAGGGCATGATGCCGTACTGGGCCATTACTGCAACTGCCACTCCTTTGGGTTTCCTGAGGTGAGTTGTGATCTTGGATATCTCCATTGTACACCCCAGAGATACCATGATGACGAAGAGGGCCACAATCAGGATTGCATTCAGGGCTTTGTCCGTGGCCTGCTGGCCAAATGCCAGTGGTGGTGCCCCACTGGTCAAGGAGGTGCTCTGTGTGTGACCTGGGCTCCAAAACTCTGGGTTCTCAAAAGCTCCCTTGGTCTTGTTCATGCTGAGGGAGAGTCTAGAGGTCCCTTCTGCAAGTGGCTGGGAAGGGGAGGGAGGGATTGATTGACGAGTCCAAATAACATCCAGTTACAGCAAGCAAAACATGAACTCTCTTTCAGGCCACCGCTCTTATCATTCAGCAGCTGTTGAAACAGAAATCCGTGTTTTGAGCAATCAGCTGTGAACCCCATTCACTGCAGTAACATGTTGTGCAGTTTGTGTAGCTTCTGCTCTGGTTCCCCCACCTCTTCCAGCATCTGCTCTCACAGTGAGAACAAGGACATTGCTAGTGAGAGGAACAAGGCACTCATTTAAAACTGGTAAAGACAGGCATTTCATAGAATGAACTAGAACTCTTGTCCACAAGATATTGCTGAGGCCAATGCTTAAAAATATGATGTATCCATGGTACTTTGTTTTCAAAAAGGGTTATAAACCGCTTATGCTTCTGGCCATAAATCAATCTCTCAATAGGAGAGCTTGGAATAAACTTCCTCCATGGATGACTAATTTCTCTAGTAAACTCTTAGTGGCCTTCCAGTCTCTTTTCCTGATGTAGTAAGTCTGACACTGTCTAGAAATTTTTTGACTGCATGAAGGAATGAATTCTCCAAGCCTAACCAACATCCAAACTGTTACTCCCTCCTTAGTGCTGAGGTCAGGTTCTGCCTCACCCAACCTCTGCAGTGCAAAGCTGTACTTTCAGGACCTAAAGTGCTCTGCACCATGATCCAGCCAGGAGTGCAATCATCACCCAAGCTCTCCAAGCAAAGCCAAACAGGCAGCTTTTACTCACCCCAGACTGGTACCTGCTTTGTGCTTTCAGTACAAGGCTGCACAGCACAACATGCATTCAGTGCTCTGGTGTGCAGGGAAATGGAGCTGGGCAGCTGGTGCCGGGGCAGGAACAGGGATCAGAATGGTGGCTGATGAGGATTCTTCCTCCAGTTGCTCCAGGTGAACTCTGTGCATCCCCCCTTGCTCCCTGTCCCTGGCTGTGCAGGGGATGTGCTTCCCTGCATCAGCCATGCTGGGGAATGGCACATTGCCTGCCTTGACCCTAGATGCTGCAGTCCCTGATCCCTCTGCAGATTTTACCTTCATTTATGGCATTTATTGCCTTCAAAACAACTTAAGCTAACCCCTAGGTCTGGTGAGGGACTCTGTAAACATACAGAGCTAAACACGTTAAACTAGAGCAAAGTGAATGCTGTTACCTTACGTGCCTGTGGATGTGGCTGTAGGAGGCTTCGGAGAGATTACCTGCTGCTCCATCCCTTCCTGGCTGAGCTTGGTGACTAATAGCACTCTTCCGTCCTTCTGCTTCAAGAACGTCTTTCCTCTTTGGCAAGATCTTGTCCTCTGCTTGCAGAATATAAAGCGTGGGTCTAAAACAGCCGTGTAAACAATATGATAGTTGTGTTACAGGACTGGGAAGGGGATTTTAACCAGGGAGGTTTGCTGCAATCTGGCCGAGCTCTAATCCCTTTGCTGAAGGGCATTATAATGCTGCAGTAACGTGTGCATCACTGCTATTCATTGGGGAGCTTGGCAGGCTCAGCCTCCCTAGCCCCATTGCTCTGGAAACGCTGCTGGCAGCAGGCAGGAATGTTGGAGCGGTTCTCCCTGTTCCTCTCCACTTGCTGTTGCTTTGGTTGTGAACTCTGTTTTCCAGGCTAGCAGCCAGGCCAGAAAAGCACCAGCAACAGCCCTGGAGCCCAGCATAGACATCCCTCATCGGGCTGGGAAGAGCAGTGCCCGCAGCAGAGCAGCTCCTGGTGGCTCCACAAGCCCATGCCCACCTCTTCTCCTACACCCTTGTGAGCACCACACTGCCACGTCTGGGGACAGGGGCTCTTTCCATAAATCATGGGTGGTGCTTTGAGACCTCTGTGTCCCTGTGGTGCTGCCTGGCCTCATTGCTCGGTCCTGGCTAAGTGAGCAGGAGGAGGTGGCTGCAGTACTGCACGTTTTGTTTTCCCTTTGGGACCTGCAAGATTTCCAGGCACAAGTAAGGGCTGCCCAAGTAGGACACGGGCAAGATCCATAGGAACTAGGAGAAAACACAGGAGCAAAGCCCTGAGCAATTCCTTCTCTCTTCCTATCCTTTCCCTTCAGCTTTGTTCCTGCAGATCCCCAGCCTTCCTAAGGAAACACTTGTTTACACCGTGTTTGCCTTTTGATTGTATGCTGAATTTTGTAAGAAGATGCAAGAAGGGTCAAGACAGACAATTAAACTGTTATAAAGCATCACTGTCTCAGCAGCATCTAGAACCCTTCCCCCTCCCCCCATAAGCTCAGTGCAGCTCAGGGTTTTAAAATGATGATGTTGTAATGCTCTCACCCTTTGTCTTTGCAGGGCTGTAGAAGAATGTTTCAACTACTCCAATTATTGAAAAAATGCCTGCTAGTTGTCCTCTCTTCAATTGCTGGTTCTCTGTAGTTAACACAGGAAACTCCATGGGAGCCAAGGGAGAGGCTGGTCCAGAGAAGCAGAATAAATTAGGGTAAGTTTTTCACCCTGATTCACACTGGGACATCCAGTTGTTTTACAGGCACTGGAGCTGAGGGTTTGCATTCAGATGTGGCCAAAGAGCTGCATCTCAGCTCTAAAGCTGCTGGTCCCTGTGGTGGGACCTGGCGGTGGGACCACCGAGGAGCAGGACTGGAGGAAGGAGCAGGCTGCTGGTAGCCCATGATGGGCTGATGCCACATCAGTCACCTTGGTTTGGAGGAGGCTTTGGCCTCAGAGAAGATGCCTGTTTGCCAAGCAAGCCCCTAGTTTCATCCCTAGGCAAAGTGTGCCTTTTCCTTCCTTTGACCGCTTCCTGGGCTCGGTTCTTAACAGGTAAATTTCTACATGTCCTTTAAACTGTCTCCTTTTTTTCTCCTCATAGCTCAACTACTCTCAAACAGGCCTTCGCCTTTGCCTTTGCCTTTGCCTTTGCCTGTGCCCTTGCTCTGCTAAGGAGCTTCCTGAAAGGTTCTGCGCGGCTCAAGCCACTTGAGGGCAGTGGTTGCATGCCCAGAATCCCGTTGCTCTCTGACGATAAAATAGCCCATAAAACAACGAAGTCTCGCCGTAGGTGCTACCGCTTAGATGGTTTTTATGAAGTCAGATACTCCCAAATTCAGAGATATGGTCTAATACAACAGGCATCACAGGATGTGTAACAAGCCTGAGGCATTGAAAGAGATATCAGAGTAAAAACTGTATACAAGTTCACAGACTTTCTCTTTGGAATGGGATGTGTTGTGGACTTCTAATTTTTTAAAGACTCCCAAGCAATCAGTGCTTCATCCTTTCATAATGCAGCTTCATATATTCGTACATGAAATGATGCAAGTGCCCCTTTCAGTGGTGGGCAGCTGAGGTCTGTCACCTCTCCTGTGTTAGTACAGAATTTAACGTGACTTGAGCTCAGCCCGGTGGTTGCCCAAAGGCTGTAGTTCAGCAAACGTGCCCAACAGGAGCAGTGGTGAGGCAATTTGCCCACCACAGCCCTGCCCAAGTGCTGGGGTGGCTTTCAGGGTTAAACAGGAAGGGCTCCTGCAAAGACAATCATGAGTTGTTCCAGCTGTGTCTCCCCCATGCCATGATTTTGGTCCTATCCATGTTTTTTCACTTCTGTCATCACCTGAGGATGCAGGTCACTTCAGTAGGATGCTCTCCAACTAAAACCTAGGTCTGGTGTGCCCTGTCATGGCAGAAGTTGTGTGTTTGGGGTGGTGGTTAGTTCTGCTTGTGTCTGAACCCCCCTGAGATAGGGTCAGAAATGAGAACAAACTGAATGGGCTTGTCTTGAGGTGCAAACCACTCACCATCTGGTGTGGAGCAGTCTGGACACAAGCTGCCATGCACCACTGGACAGAGCAGCTGCAGCCTGATGCCACGGTGATGGCCACACTCCCCTCTCCTCACCCCCATGCCAGGTGCAATTGCGTTGCCATGCCACCTCTATGTTGGTCATGGCTACCTGGTGTGTCATGGGGAAGAGCCGCATCTGGAGTGGGATAGGGTGAGGCAGGCTGGAGAGGCTCCCGCAGCTCTGCATGGTCCTGCTGGCTCCCTGCAGCAAGGCTGAAAGACCTGCAGTGATAATGCCAGCATGTCCTGGAGGCCTCCTGCAGCCGCTGGGACATACTGGAGACGGACAGAGGTGTGATCTGCAGTTCACAGCCCAGCTGTTTCTGCTGTGGCATCCCAGCATGGATGAGGGCCCCATCCCAGTGCCCTGCAGCAGCATGGACGGGACCTTGCATCCCTGCCTTCCTGGTGACAGCCATGCCCCATTCCCCACTGCTGAGCTTCCTGCCCCAGCGGCACTACTCTCTTAGTGCTCATGAGCACAGACAGGAGTTAAAATTGTTTTTATTTATCCAAATCCCATTATCACCCATCAGGCTTACAAAATCCCATGACTCCCCTCTTCCACAATTCTGTTTGATAGGAAAATAATTAATTTTGCAATTAAGCTGTGCCCAGAACAAATGATGTAAGAGCACTCCGTATGGGCTAAATTAGTGCCTGCTGCGACACAGCGCCAGCATCTGTCTGGTTTAGTGATACTTATTCTAAAGAGCCGGGGGGGACAGGACACAGTGCACCCTCCTGTGATTTTACTGACATCTTCGTCTCAGCTGGAGACCCAGACAGGACTTGACACTGTCAGCTGGAGCATGCTGAAGAACAAGCTTGCTGTGTAAAGGAGGTTAGCTTAAATGTGAGTTTGCTGGCCAGTTGGGCATTGCTTGTACCCACAGCAGTGTGGGGAGCTCAGGAGGAAGAAAAGCTGCTCCCAAGAGCATGAGGCACTTCAACCACTGAGACCAACATGTCTATGGTTTCCAAATATTACCTCTTTCTCCAAATATCTAGAGCAGGGCTTCTCACCAGCACCATGAAGTGACAAAGGGTCTTAGTGGCAGGAAAAGGTCCTGTCACATCCTTTCGGTGGTGTTGCTACCCTAAGGGATTTTAAGTTACTCCAGATAGAGCTCTG